TATTACTTCAGAATATAAAATTTAAATTCTAATTTCTATCACATTTTATTATAAAAAAATTGATTTTATATTTATCTTCCAKTTATATATATAAACACATAATTTTATGTATTCGCTTATTAATGGTTTTATAGTAGAGAATGAGGTGGAGAGAGAGGAGATCAAGCTAATGGCTGTACGTAATCGCTTGTGCCACACCGTTGATAGTCTTCGATTTGAGCATATCGTTTTCCCACGTTTCCACTGTTTCTTTGTTATTTTCGGAAATTCTACAAAAAATTTATTTTTAACAAATCAATCCTCAAATTTTTAGATAAACCTAGCTTGTATGTTAATCCTTATACATACCTTTTGGTGGTAATTTTTTTCCCATTTGAGAACCGGGTAGATATTGTTGTTCTTTTCATATTACCACCACCATTAACCGTTTGACTAGAATATCCATTGTTTGCCATTGAGAACATATTATCAAATCCAGAACCAAAACCACCTCCAAAACCACCAAATCCAAATGGATTCATCATTGAAGATATTTCCTGATGTCCATTATTGAATCTTTGACCTGGACAGATAAACAATGAAAGATGGTKTAAAAAAATACATCACATTCTAAGGAATATTAAATCAATGTCAAACATTATGAATTTACCAGGAAATAGAAGATCTGTAACATCTGAGGTATTGAAAAATTCTTTGAATACATCTTCAGGGTCTCTGAATGAAAATCCAAAGAAACAAGGTCCAAAATCTTGGCCAAATGGATCGTAATGCCCTGGATGTCGTTGATTACTTCTGCGACGTCCACCATTTCCAGCACCACCATTTATCAAACCATCTTTGCCATACTGGTTATAAATCTTGCGTTTTTTATCTAATAAAATAAATCAATGAAATATAATAACCATTATAATCATAAAAATGTTAGTAGTAATGACAAAATATTATGTAAAAATGATTATTGGCATTAAAAAAGCGCCACTTCTTATAGATTACATGCTCCAGCTCCAATAATATTTTGAGGTTTAGTAAGGTTTAAAACTGGTATGGGTTACATGTGAATGGCATATTAGATCAACACAACGTAAACTATAATTTAGGGATTCTACCAAAATAACGATGGAATGGGCTTTCAAAGAAGTTGTAGAAGAACGGTCTGGACGATGCGGACACTTTTCTTTTACGCTGTTCATCGTACAACTTTCGCTTTGCCTCTGTTAGACATATACACAATATATTTATATTTAAAGGCATAACCTATTTACTTTGACATATATTTTTATACACATTAATTTCTAAAATCATTTGTGACTTACAATTTTTAAGTTTATCATCATTATGGTTCTTTGTGAAACAATTAGCTTTTAATTATAAGCGGTTGAAAAAAATTACTTAAGTTAAAGATAAGTACAGTTTTTTTTTAATGTTTCTTTAAAAGCTAATGACCTCATCATATGTATTATATTACAGAGTAAATAAATATTAAATACATTATAACAATATATTTTTTGTTAAATACCATCAGATAAAACTTCATAGGCTTCTGAAATTTCTTTAAACATTCGGTTAGCTTGTTCTTGATTTTCTGGATTTTTGTCGGGATGCCATTTCAGTGCTAATCTCCTGTATCTGTAAAACAAAAATGGGAAAAAATGTAATTTACATTCTATATATTTTTACAGTTTATAWAGATAAGTGAACTAAACGTACGATTTTTTTATATCGTTAATCGAAGCGTTAGGAGTGACTTCCAGCAAGGAATAATAATCTCCAGACATACTGTGTAATATATTTTCTGGAACTTATGTGTATGTCCTAGARMAAAAAAAAATAATTTTAGTTTGTTTTATCAAAAATATCCATATCATTAATAAGTACAGTAGTTAGTACACTACTGATGTGGCACCACTATTATAGGTGAATACTATGTAATGCCATACACACATTCAATTGACCATTTTATTGTTATGAAGTGATATTATGGCGATACGGTCCGATACACAATAAAAGTAATCACACTAGTTATTATATTGTATCTCTGAGAACTCCTATAATAACGGTTTGTAAATTGTTTATTATAATTTACAACTAGTAAATTACACTCGTTTTTATTAGATACAATAATCAAATTATATTATGTTTGTATATTTGAACAAACTAATTGTAATAACATATTAGTAAGCATAGCACAACAAAATTGACCTTAAAAAATTTTAGAAGTGAAAATTTTCAAAGCCACATTAACTTATTTATAGAGGTCTTCTTTTCCTTTTCCTGGTCATCATGCGGTATTAATAGTATACAGAGATGTACAACTGCGCAAGTAAATTATGATTAACGAGAACCATTTGGATGAAAAGATTTGCCAACTGACCAAACAATATTATTTGAAACTAATATAAATTCAAAACAAACAGAAAGTTATTAAGCGATCTTAATAAAAATTTAATATAGATTAAAAAAA